TTCTCATCTCGGAGAACGGATTTAACAACGTTCGTCGGGCGTCGTAGCTTATCAAAAATGTGAGAAACAGTCCAATGGTTCGATTTGTGCGCTAGAATTTGTCCTTTCTCAAAATCAGACAAGCGGCACCTGCGAGGCATTTTGGAACGTGACGAAGGCGCTATACATCGCTTTTGCGTTTCTCTACAGCTTCATAGATGCCTAAGGTATGGCTTATCAAATTTTAGCGAGCATCAGAACAGTAATTCAAGTACTGCGCGCGAACTTCGGGCGCTTTTGGAGTTCGCACAAATGTGTACCTATATTTTTTGCCGGGTGTTTTCGCGTAAAGGTGGATATCTTGGTACCTGCTTGCATTTTTTCTATTCTGCTTTGATATTCTTACTCAGAGCGGCACGGGCCAGATACACACAGCAATGCGTGTCATGTTTACTTAAAAGTTGGACCCATTGGACCCAAGAAGCCCGAATGTCCTATAGTTTTTGCCACCACTAGACCTCCCACGCACATCCGCGATTGCTGAGCATATATTCTGATAATTGCAAAATAGCAGGGCTAAAAATAGAACGGACCAAGTAATATAGAAATGACAATATACTATCTGTGAAACTAATCAAAGCACGATTTTGACGAGATTTCGCACATCAAAGATCCTTTCTCGAAAGCAACGCTTTTGTACAATAAAAAGACAACCACGCTCATTTGGGCGGGCTTTTCAAAAAACGCACTGTATTTGCGCAATACCTCGATGTCGACACGTAGACCCATTGCGTCATCTCACTATACAGTCAAAAATGCACATCGCCGACCCTTCAAATCCACACCAGCTCGCCAGCGGCGGCTCCCTTGCCCCCCTCGCCGTCCTCCCCGGCTGCCTTCCCACCCATCCCCCCGCAATCATCCCCGCCGTTCCCCTCCTCTTTGCACCCACGCGCGCCCACCGCAACTCCGGGCACACCTCGTGCTCTCTTGTTAACGCTTTCCCAGTGCCCCGATCGCACACCAGCCGCCCCTTCCCCTACCAGGCACTGTACTCCCCTCGCGCCTTCTATTGGTTGTATTGAAAGAAAAGCACAGATCGCTCCTCGTGCTACGAATTCTACTTTCAGCCCCGTGCTCCGCCTCATCACGGACTCCGACATGCAAAATATTTCGGCCACGGAGGCCACCGCCGGTATCCAGATCCTCGCCGACACAGCCCTCCGCCGTGATGAAGCATTTTCTCGATATGAGACTACACCTCTCAATGACAGCTCTGACGAAGAATGTGACTCTCCGTCCCTTATTCTCGACACATTCTATCAGAGTGGGGGGTCTGCGTCAATCGTCCAAATGACAAACTTTAATATTCGGCAATTTCAAAGCATTTGGACGACGTTCGCGGATTTTATAACGTCAAAATTCAATGTCGGGCGTGGACGCAAATCTCCGTTTACGGGCAAAGACGTTTTGTTCATGGTGATTACGGTCCTCAAGCACAGCGGTACTTGGGACCTCCTAGGGCGTATTTTTAAGATCAAGGGGCCAACGTTCGAGCGTCTTCTAATGAATTTCATCTGTCTAATAACGGATGAGTTCTATCGTCTGTTTGTAGTCCAGACGATGGAGCATCACAGCATGACTGTATTGGAAGAGAAAGCGAAAACCTTTAGCAATTTCAGGTATGCGTTGTACGCAACTGACGTGACGTTTCAGCATACGAATCGGCCATCAGGAAATCATGAGGAATCTAAAAAATATTTTTCGTGGAAGCACAAATTATATGGGTGTAAAGTAGAGGTTTCGGTCTTACCGACCGGGTTTGCGATTGATTCTACACAACATTATCCGGGGTCCTACTCGGACATCGATATTATGCACTGCAACAAGACTTTTCACGATACAGCCATGCGAAAGTGTGAGGGAGAGGGGCAAATGACAAATGGTGGACTTTATTCGGAGGAGTTTCCGGGGCATTGGTGCCTTATTGCAGACAAAGGTTACCAGGGGGCAATGGAATTTGTGCGCGCCGTTACACCCCACAAGCGTCCTGCCCGTGGGATGTTGTCTTTCGAGGAGGAATCTTTTAACCGCAAACTATCTTCGGATAGAATCATAGTGGGGAATTTTTTGGGCGTCTATGCTCGCTTTGGGGAGTGGTTGGGAGTAAGTATCGGTGGAGTGAAGCCAATTATGATCCCATTTTTAGGCTCTGCCTAGCGCTGACAAACGCGCATGTTCGTGTCGACGGTCTGCGTTGTGACGATTTGGACTTCCATCAGCGATTCTAAAATCGCAACTACAGTATCGGGGGTGAGCTTTTGGAGAAGCGCAAATTGCGGCAAGAACGCTACTGTCGCAGGCGTCGACAAAAGATGGATACCAGGTTTCGCAGCATGATTGGTTCTGACGAAGACACTCAGTCTCCGTGATTGGTGCGCTAGGATATTTGTTGTTGCGAACTATTTTTGATATGAAACAGGTGTTCAGTAATTACAGATATGTCGGAAAACAATAAATTTCTATTGCAGTACCAAAGCCTTTGGCCTAATCATTTTATGAGCACTTTGACGGGCGTCGTTTGAAACCTCTAGTGTCTAGACGACAAGCAATTTGACCTCATATGAGGTCAGTCATGGCCTCATATGAGGCCAGCTTTTTTTTGCAAAAATATATAAATTAAATCGAAACTTTAAAACATTCAGTTTGGACACCATTTCTTTAACGTATACGCGCTCGGCAATAACATCTTGCAAAACATTGGGATGGCGGTTGTCAATGCACAGAGAGACTAAGAATCTACTGAAGTATCAATGATGAGTTGACTTTTTAAACAGGCGTTTTGGTTTCGAAGATATCAACATAAAACGTTTTGAGGTTGGTCAAAAAAGGCTCCTTTTTGGGCATTTTAAAAATGGCTGGAGAAGACGTGCAGATCTCACCAAACTCCACCCTTCCACAACGCAGAAGTCAACTGCCGTGTCGAGAGTATCTTTTTTCTATCTTGTTGAGCTAGCACAAGTCGAGAAAAATAAGTTGAAAAGTGACCTCATATGAGGTCATTTGTCACCTAGACACTAGACAATTGTGCACCGAAAGGGCTTTGCGCAATAGCTCGATATTTGTGGCTGAGCTCTACTGTAGCTACAAGCGTCCTCGGCCTCGCTGTAAAATCCTCCAAAAATTATCGTCAAATTTCAAATCTAAAAATTTGCCCAAACATTCGGTCTCAAAGACGAAGGAATCTGCGGTTATGACAACACAATTCTGCAAATTTTTGGAAGGTTGGGTTGCAGACTCTTGTACAGAGTTGATTGGACTCCTCTTCACTTGCGCCGGTACTGTAATGATTCAATTTACACACCCGTCGAAAATGCGGAGCCTCCTTCCGTGGCACCTCGTCTCGTCTTCCGCTTCCGCTTCCGTTCCGTTCCGCTCCGCACTCCGCATCCTCTTCCCATCGCCTTCCCGAACCGACTCAACCCCGACTGTCTCCGATCCCCACTGTCTCCGGTTCCCACCACCTCCCGATGCAGCTCCCCACGCACGCCTTCCCGCAATGACTACGCTTCACCTTCTCCTCCTCCTCCGCCTCCTCCCCGTCCTCTCTGCCCAACCGACCTCCTCCCCCACGCCCACCCCCTTCACCCCTCCCGAATGGGCGCTGAACCGCTTCTCCCTGGCCTCCTCGGCCGCGCCGCTGACAAAGTCCGCCTCGGTCCCCTCCCGTGTGCACACCCTGCTGCGCTTCATCACCTCCCTCGACACCTCCGTCGCTGAGGCCGCCACCGCCTCGCTCAACTCGTCGCGCGACCTCGTCCTCACCACCTGCAACGACCGCGACATTGAGTGGCGCACGGACGTCACAACCTACTTTGGCCTGCGCGCCTGGCCCCCGCCGGACATGGGCTGCGTCACAAACGTCTACGGCTCGGGCTCCGCCGAGTTTGCCACCGACCAACTGTACGACCTGGTCCGCGACTGGGGCAACGACATCGCCGCAAACGCCGTCGAGATGGCCGCCAGCGCGGGCAGGCCCTGGCAACACGCCACGCGGGGCACCGATTTTGTCTACGACGTCCGCACACAGAAGTGCACCCACAACTACGCCGCCTTTGTGCGCCTGGCAAATGTCTGGTACCTGGAGAGTCGCATCACCAACCAGGGCAAAAACCTCACGCTGGCGGAGGGGGAGCGCCAGTATTTGTGGGAGTCCTTGCGCGCGAATCGCGACGGCATGTTAGAGCCGGCGCCCGTGCGCGTTGACGGCGCGGATGGCACCACCGTGTACGCCAACTTGTCCGGGAGCGTACCGGCGTCGGGCTTCGGCACCATCTTCCCCGCCGACAACATCGCCGTCGCGGAGGCGCTGAGCGCAGGCGAGCACGCGAATCAGCAGGCGAGCGACGCCACCACCCCGAGCAACATCGCCATCCTCGCGCTGCCGCTGGCCATGAACCTCGTGCCCGTGGCCCTGATCGCGGACGTCAACTCGGCCGGCATGCTCGTGTATACGGTGGCGACGGACGTCCTTACGTGCGTGCCACTGGCGATCAAGGGCGTCGAGGTGCTGACGGTCGGCTTGCGCCAGGAGACCGCCGTCGTGACGCGGGTGACGGGTCTGCGGGAGGGCGCCAAGGCGGCCGAGGTGTGGACGGCGCGGTGCGTGGCGAACGGCGAGCTGCGCCCGGTGGGAGTGGCGCTGCTCGTGGTCGCCATTGTCTTCATGGTGGGTGGCGTCGCGGCCGAGTTTGTCGCGCGTGAGGTGATGGCGCAGAGGAGGCGCCGCGCAAAGGTGGATACGGGCCCGCCGGATGCGATGGCGGCAGAGGGTGGCGCGTTGACTGTTGGCGCCGTCGGGCCGAAGGCGGACTGAGGCCGGGAGACGGGGCAAAGAATGTCTGACGAGACGCGTGGCGAAGGCGCCGCAATTTATCCCGCGATTACGCAACTCACGCCTGCCCTCGATTGGCGCCGCCACCCTTTGCGCCGCGGTTCCTCCCCGCAGAATGCCGTCTTAGATGCGGCCAGTCCGTTGCTACGTCGTGCACTTCCTTCGCATTCCATCTTGCCATGGTTCAGCCCCGCCATTCTTTTATCCGCTCTCACCACCCTCCCCCTCGTATCCCCCCTTCGCTTCCGTCGCCCTCCCTATTAACAAAGGAGAAAGAGAGAGCGAGAGAGAAAGAGAGAGCATAGCAGTCGCAGTCATGTCTCTCATTGCACACACGTCGACGAGCGAATGGGCGCTCGCCGCCTCCACGCTGCAATCGTTGCCGCCCGCATCGCTGGCGTCCGAACTGTCTGCGACGGCAGGCCCATCGGCGTGGACGCCGCTACATTTTGTCGCGGCCGCATCACTGGCACCGGCATCGCTGATGGAAGCGCTTCTAGCGGCAGGCGCGCCGATCGACGCGCGGGCGTCGTCTGGCTCCACACCGCTACATCTTGCAGCGTGGCACGGATGCACCGAGCACGTGGAGCTGCTTGTTGCGCGCGGCGCAAGTGTGACGGCGCTGACGCGGGCGGGGCGCGGACCACTGCACTTTGCAGCGAGACGAGGGCACGCCGAGGTGATCATGGCTTTGGCGAGGGCAGGGGCAGACTTGAATCAAACAGACGCCAAGGGGATGAGCGCGCTGCACTTTGCGGCAGACGGTGGGCATATGGAGGCTGCGAAAGAGTTGCTGCAGGAAGGGGCGTTGGTGATGAAGGCGGATGACGGAAGGACAGCTGCGGATGTGGCAAAGGGAGAGGTCGGAGTGGTGCTGGGGGAGACGATGGGGGGAGTGGGGAGGACGAGGGAAATGAGCGATTTGGGGAGGGAGGTAGGATGGTGGAGTGGGAGGAGGCTGGTGAGTGCTCTAACGATGAGGGCCACTGAGGCGGTGAGGGGTGTGTGGAAGGCGGAAGGGGAAGTGGGGCGAATGGATTGTGAGGAGATTGCCGAGGCAATGTGTGAGTTTGCCGGGAGAGGACAAGAGGAGGGAGTCAGGCGAGAGTATGAGGCTAAGATTGTGGAGGGGGTGATGAGGTATCGGTTGAGCGGAGTGGGGGTGGTGGCAAAGCGACCGACGGCGGAGAAGTTGGTGACAGAGGTAGTGGGGGTAGAGAGTGGGGCGTTGTTCTATGCGTTGGTTGATTGGGTGGAAAGGGCAAGGGAGAAGGAGAAGAAAGAGGGCGTGGGGAAGGAGGTGTACGCCGCCGTCGGGGCGGGCGTGCTTTGCGGGTTGCTCATGCCAATTGGGAGGAAGTGATTCCTGAGGAGAGGGCATTTTTGCAACTTCAATTGCCTTTCTTGCTTTCTTCAGGTCTCTTCTCGCTCCTCGTGGAGAAGCACTGGCTGTAAAGGAAACTCAAGGCACTTTCTCTCCCATCATCACTCTCGCATCTCTTCATTATCATTAATGCCCGAAGTTCTATCATCTGTCAATATACAAAGAACAGGTGTGGCTTTTCTTTCAGATCTCCTTCCCTCTCCCTCCGTTTTTGCAAATCGAGGCACGCGGCATCCTCCCACGCCTGAAGTCCATGTATATGGCCAAGCAAACGTATCTCATGCGTTCTCGTTCGTCTGCGCAAGCTTTCAAACCCCCATCCCACCGGTATCAATGCCTTGTATCTTCTCTATACCGAAGCTGCTGCTTCTGCTATTGATCCCCCCCCTTCACGCTGTCCTTCTAGGACAAGGCACGCTCCCCGAGTGCCATCCTTGCCAGCACAACGCTCAGTGCCTCTCGGCCGTCTGCTGGCAACGCAAGTGTATTCTCTCCACCGAGTCTTCGAAGCGCCTCTGCTTCCCCACCACTGTACTACCTGAATGCTCCCCTTGTACTGCCAATTCAAAGTGCATTGGGGGCGAGTGCTGGCGCGGCCGCTGCGTCCTCCCTACGGCCTACTCGCGAACAAAGTGTTTCCGTCCCAAAGACAAGAAGGCAGAGTGCGCTCGTTGTAGACAAGCGAATGAATGCTTGGGGAAGAGATGCTGGCACGGCCGGTGCGTCAGCAAAGGGAAGAAGGTCGCTAATGTGTGCTTTCCAAGCGCAAGAAGGCTTCCGATGTGCTCGTCTTGTGAGATTGATGTGCAGTGTAAGTCATCTGTATGTGATTGGGGAATGTGCGCCACAGCTGCGGGGCGTAAGGACTCTGAGTGTGGCGAGATGGAGTTGAAGTTGCCTGCGTGTTCCTCGTGTATGGAAAATAGGGAATGTCGTAGCGGTTTGTGCAGGGACAAAGTGTGTGTGAACGAGAAGTGGGGGGGTCAGACTCGATGCAGGCGCGTTTCGTCGGTGTCCGTTGGCGATGGCCGTTGCGGTTCATGCGAGTCCTCTGCGGACTGTCAGGTGGGGCAGTGCTGGCGGGGCAAGTGTATAGTCGACATGAGCTTCGCTTCCAAGAGGCACTGTTTCCATTTGTATGAGCTCAAGGTCGAAGAGTGTGCCACATGCAAGCTGCATGTGGAATGTAGCACGGGGTTGTGCTGGCGAAGAAAGTGCGTGGTCAGGAGGAATTTCAGGTCGAAGAGTAAGTGCTTTTATCATATGCGGGAAGGAAGGGGAGAGTGTGGAGCATGTCGGAGGAGCAACATGTGCAAGTCTGGATCATGCTGGAGGGGTATGTGCATTTACCTAAATACGACGTCGATAGAAAAATGCATACGTAGGTGGAGGGGGAGGAGGAGTTTGCGCAGACACTGATGCGGCCATTTTATGCTCACTACCGTTAAACCGCAAGAGTACGATGCGATTCCCTCGTAAAAGTTGTGTAAGCCCATATGCAGACTCAGCATTCCTTGGTATTACTCGACGGCAGTGAAGAGGAAAGTTGGGTGTTATTCATTTCCATTGAGTCGGGTCCGAATCGGAGGCACGAGGTTTCCGGCGGGCCAAATGCTAACTTTGCATTCATCAACGAAGGTGATGCGAATTGCATTGCATTGCTGCATCGGAGGTGGTGCTTGCCACGTCACGTCGCCACGTCCATGCTGTCTTAAAGGAGACCCTGAGGGTCTCCCTGAGGTTCTCCTTTAAGAGTGCGTGAGCGAAGTATATGGATCGGGATCGCTATCCCAGATCGAGATCAAAGTACAGTGCGTGAAATAAAAGGTAATTTACATTTCACGCACGCAACATGAGAAATGCCGTGAGACAAATTTCTTGTACACGTAGCAACCTGTAATACGTATTGGAACGAATGTTGGTTCCCATGTACAGCATGCACACCCGTACCACGCACACACGTAACACAGGTAGCAGCTGTTCGCGCATCGCGGTTGTAGGAGAGACTCAAGACCTTGGTCGTGTTTACTGTGGGAGGAGCGACGGCGGTGTTACTGTAAGTACCGGTGGAGCTATGTACACGTGTAAGATACGACAGCGGCGACCCTCGGCCACCGGCCACCGGCCACCGCCCTAAAAGGCGGGGCGCCTTTTACCTCTCGCGTGGTAGTAGAGCTACGACCCAGAAGACTCACTAAACCGAGCCGTCGTTCCTTGCACCGCAGGTCCCTAAAACCGCATACCACTTCCGCAAGACGATCAACCGAAAACAGCCGGCAGCCACCCTGCCGGCTGTTGCCATCTTGTTGTACACTTGTTGTACATTTCCCCTCTGCACGCCCCTCGACCGCCTCCGCACCACCGCGTCGAGAGTCGTACTCCTCTACACGAAGTGTCTATCCTAGTGTGTATCCGACGACAGTTCTTTCCTTTGCAAGTATGAAAATTAAATTGAACATTTTTTAAAAGGCTATCTTGGACACTATTTCCTCAACGCATTTGTTTTCGGCAATAATAATACGCTGTACGCAGAAAGATCAACAATGTAATGCAGATTGAGCATCTAGTTGCCTTTTTCAAATGGCGTTTTTGGTTTTGCTAGTTATTTTTACAACGAAGAACATGCAATTCTCACAAACTTGTTTCTGTCCCCAAGTCAGAAGTCAAGTGGCGGTGGCGGGGGTATCATTTTCTCTCTTGTAATAAAATAGGTCGAGCAAAGTCGTCCTCATACAGTATGAGGACAAAGGTTGCCATAGACACTAGACAGCAGTAACGTAGATGTGGCCATTCGGGCGAGGCGTCCGCCCACGGGCGTCAAGAGCACGACGCAAACATCGCCACACCACACGGGCGTCGCGAGGCGATCTCCAAGTTTTTGTTTGGCATCACAGTGGGCGCGGCGTTTCCGTAAAAGTTGAGTTTCAAGTTGGTCAAACTTGAGAGCTTTTAAACTTTTTGCCCAAACATTTTGCTGACGAATGCTCATCGCAGGGTCTCAGCCTGAGACCCGGTTCTAACGGCCCTCAAGTTATGTTATGTACGGAGTACCGTTCTGTACACGTGTGTACAGCTCGTAGAAAGGCACTCAAAGACCGTCACATCGCTCTCCCCTCACCAAACGTGCTGCTTTGTCTTCCCTTGTCTCTTACCAAGACAGCCCTCTAATCATGAGGCTGTGTTGTTCAGTTGCGCTCGGTCGGCAAGGGTACCTGACCGATCAAAAGCAGCTATCTCGATCAATATACAGTACCCTTGGTACA